AACAGGCATTTCGAAACTCGACTGGTGTTGGGAAAGGACCCGCTCCAGCCTTGCAGCCTTGCTAAGTGCCTCAAGTTAACATGTAATTAGCTCGATCTAAGGAAAGGACCAGTGGAGGCAATCCCATAATGGCCAGGCAGTCTCAAATATAAGCAAAACAGGCTACCTGTAGCATTAAAATCAGAGAATTTAATGCCAGTGGGGCTACTTTTCAAGAAGACCTGTGGTTTCTAGTTGCCTTTGTGTTTGACTTGTAAACTGCGTGTGGGGCTCCATCACCGGCAGGTTCACGTGATGGGCAGTGTACCAAAAACACAGGTCATGTTTTGATTTCTGTTTGATATCTTATTTATATATGATTTAAATGGAGAAACTAAGAAAAATTAACTGTCCAGGCCATAATTTTACCTAAAATAAACACAGGCTAAAACGACAGCAACTTAGTGGATGGCGTGGATTAGTGAGATATTCTGGTATGTAATAGCAATAGCAACAATTTTATTCCCCGATTTAGTAATGCTTAAAATCTGCAATCCAGAGTCACTGCGTGACGTGCAAATCCCTTACAAAATCTGCCTCCCTTTTTCAAGCTCAGGATCCTTTGCTATACGAGGGAACCCCGAAGGTTGCCCCCATATAGCTTTGTATAGGAAATTCGTGTTTGGAGAATCGTTAATGCGATGGACTTATTCAGACCATCTTTTTGCCATTCTTGCTTATACCCTTCTTTATAGACAGTGCTGTCCACTTGTCCCCTAGATTTCTGCTGGACTTCGTGCCTGGATAAATTTTGCCTTTTTTATTTTAGTGTTTATATGTAAAATCTTCCCAATCCCTGCAAAATCTCCTCCTTGTTCTTCCCTTGCGTTGGTCCTGAGTCCATGAAACACCATGTTCCCTTTAGCAGCCACACGCTCTAAAGAAGTGAGTTTTTTCTCCTGAGGAAAGCAAGAAATATTAAATCCATTTCGATTTTAAAATGAATGTGAATTTGCTGATGCACGTATTTTAGATCCTGGTGCGATATCCCTCCCTCCATCCACCTCACCTGACAGAAATCTGACCTAGCTCTGCCGTACCCTTGTGTTAACATGCATCCATCTGTGAAATGGGGCACTCGCATCCCTGCCCCTCGAGACCTCTTTTACAGGGTGCAAATACAGCGAATCTCTTCTGACTTTCGTGCCTTCTCGGTAGATTTCCGTACCTTGTAGCCAAGCTGGGGATTTGGCCCGGTGTCTTCTTTAAACCCTGTGACCCAGACGTGGAGATAAAAAAAGAGTTATGTTATTGGATTAAACAGATAGAAGAGGCGCTCACTGTATCAGCACCCAACACCTTAAAACTCCAGAAAGCAGCTCAGCACGTTAAGGGCAAAAATAGTCTCTAAGAAAGAGGGAAAACGCAAAGGAAGGTGATGGCTACCCCATGCCTTGGGCTGGGGTGCCAAACCTGCCGCTCTGCAAAGCAGCCACAGGGACGTTATATTCTGCTTTCTGTAGCGTCTTCATACGACATACGCTGGAGACCTGGTATACAAGTCATTTGAACTACACCTACCCGTAATCGGAGTGATTTTGGCCTCTCTTAGTCCAGGTTGGGTTACTGCCTTCATGGTGGGGTTTTTAAGGGTCAGGCCTGATGGCGCTATGAACGGCACCCGCGCACGCTGGAATCAACAGAACTGCAGAAGTCAAAATACTAATAGATTAAAGCCAGACCTACAGGAAAAGGATAGTAATTTCAGGCACCATTTATATGCTTAATATTATACACATGCTCATGCTTTGTAATTTGGGCTCTAACTTGTGATTTCGGTTACATAAGAGAGCCAGAGGAGCCAGAGGCATTAGTGCTGCCCCACGCTGCGGCTGAAGGCAGAGTTCCCCCAAATATTCGTCAGGCACATTCTCAGAAGTTGTGCTGCCTCATAATGAAACAGCAGACAGCGATGCACATATTCATGACACAAAAGGACTAATTATTATTATTATTCCACTTAGTTCCAGGTACTGTTTACATGCCTCTGACTTCAAAACAGCTTCGGCTGTTGGTTTTGTTACCCCAAACATTTTTATTTTTTTTTAAACACAGAGAGCAACCATGTGCTTTGTGTGGCTGACTTTTAATGAGTGAGGAGCAGCAGAACAAGAGAGAGCCAGAGACAGAAAATACAGGCTTTGATTCCTCTAGAGAACTTGAGCAAAATATTCCACTGCTGTCAGTGGTACAGCTGTGCTGGCAGGATCCTTAGCACAGATGAGGCTCCAGCCGCCACTTACATTTCACCGACGTGACCACCGGTTCCTAATCTGCACCGAGGCATCCTCACTGCAACTGAACGAGCGGCTGCACCGCTGAGAAATGTTTTGCTTCGTTCCCTAGTGCGGCCAGAGCCGCCCGTGTTCGTGGTCCCTCGTGGAGCCTCACAAAATGCTAGCTGCCTTCGGCAAAGGATGCCCACGGATCCCAAGCTGCAGTACCCAAGAAACCTGAATCAGAAGACGTAGGTGGCAGCATGCACTACATCATGTTATTAGTTTAAACCAGGCTTTTTAGTGGAGATATGTCATCAATTAGCTGCATATACCCTATACCTGTATCAATTTTTCAGGTAAAAACCTGTTCGCTTTGCAGATCAGCTCGGATACTGGAAAATCACAGCGTGGACCGGAGTCAGGGAAAATGGCTTGCGTGACTGTGGCACAGAGCCTGTGGCATACTGTGCTGCCAGCAAGGAGGGTGCAGGAGGGGTGCAGCTCTCTGTGCTTTTGCGTGAACCAGCCAAGGGAATCAGCCTTTTCCAGAGACCTCCCTGGAGGCTGCTGTGATGGAATTTGATCCCCTGGCAGCCTACGCATAGGCGATGGGCTCCAAAGGTGTGTCGCCCAGTGAGTGCCGTCCCAGTTTGCGGGGTAGGAAGGTAGGGTCTTGTATCTGGGAAAGCTGGGGAGGGCAGGGTGCTGGGGGCTGTTCGCTCCTCTTTGGTCCATCTCTGCTGTTCCCAGTGCAAGGTTAGCACCGTGGGACTTCTGCGAAACACAGATGGCCCAAAATCTCCCTTTCCCCGCTACTCTGCCCCCACAACGCAAACGGTATTTTGCAGTACAGAGGATCTTAATAAGTCTTCAGCAGGGGTTATATAAAAATGCCGAGCGAGTCTGTGTGCTGCTGTATCCTTTCATTAACTGAACTAGAGATGCAGGTAGGAGAGCAAAGACATCTTTGAGTCACATACCCGTTTGCCCGCAGGAGAGAAGCACCGGCTTTCGGTGCAATGAAACCCAACGCAGGACAAAACGTTGCCCTGCTCATTTCTGCTGCCGATCGCCCCGGCCGCACTTTGTTCCCCAGCTGCGAGCGCGGCTGAGGGGTGCCGGGGACTGCTCCTTGGGGAGGAGGCGAGGAGAGCAGGGCGACCCCGGCCTCCCAGGCACCTGCAGGCCACGCTCCCGTGGGTCTCCCCCTCCGGCAGCAGACGGCTGCCGAGCCCAGATGCCCCAAAAGCCTGGCCGAGCGACACCGGTCCGGAGTCCGCGCCCTCCCCGCCGTCCCGGGGGGAAAAGTGGGGGCGGAGGAGCGCAGCCAGGGCCCGGGCGCGGGGACGGGTGGCAGCGCCGTGGGATGCTTTGTCTGCGAGACGGGCGCTCTTTGTGCCACGACAACAATTAAAAATACATTTACAAAAATAAAAAATAAAGAGAGGCGA